GGGAACGCCCCCCCCCCCCCTCCCAGAACAAACCATCTCGCTCTGGCGAGGGCTGAAAATAGACCCTGCCTGCCTGGAGACTTCAATTCCGAGCTCCTTGACATGAAAAGCTGCCATCAAAGTGCAGAAGGGGATATTTTTCCAGCCTAAGGAAGAGCTGCAGCTCAGGGTTGGGGCTTGGGAAGGCAGGATCTGTGGGGAACAGGAGCCCAGGCTGTACCCAGGGGGGGCTGCACTCCCCAAAAACCACCCCTGAGAAGCCCAACCTGTCCCCACACACAGATCCATCCTATTTTTTTTGCCCAAATCTCTCCTGTTTCCCTCCCAGGAGACCTACAGCACCTTTTCCCACACACCCACACAAAGCTGGGCTTGATTTCCCACAGCCCGAACTGGGACCAGGCTCCAACCAGCTGGGAAAAAGCATCCCTGGTGGGGTTTTTTTTTGGAGCTGCTGCCCAGCTCAGGGCTGGTGGCTGGAAGAGAAAGTCTTTGTTTTGGAAGGGAGAGGCTGTGGCTCCTGCCTCAGCTCACGTGCAGCATCTTGGCTGCTTTGTCCCTCCCTGCTCCACAGCTGAATCACTGCAAGTGATGGATTAGGGCTTGGGGTGCTGCTTCTCAGCTGCAAGAGGAGCCTTCAGCCTCCCCTTCCAGCTTCCAGGAGTCAAATCCAGCTGCAAGGGGGGTCACCGTGGCTCTTCCCTCCTCATCCTCACCCCTCCAGCCCCACTACTTGGCTCCCCAGGAAGAAAAAAAAAGGAGCATTGTCCCCAAAAGATGCTCCTTACAGCTCCCAGGGTCACCCCCTCCCCACCTCTGCTGGTCTCCAGCCTCAGAGCTGGGTAACTCCTTGGGGGGGGCACCATCTTCTCCCAAGAAGAGGAGGAGGTGAGGAGCTGTGCAGAGAGCACAGCACCCAGCTGGGCTTTCCCCAGCCCCCCCAGCACCCCCCAAAGCCCTGCCCAGCCTCTCCCAGCAGCATCTCACCTCCCCAGGGCATCCCCGGGTGGGGGGGGGAGGAGAAAGGCAGGTTCAGGGGCACCCCCAAGACCTGTGTCAGGGTGGCAGGTGCCTCAGGGACAGTTTATGGGTTCACCCCAGTGCAATTTGGCACCAAAACCCCAACTGGAGCCTCTCCCTTGCTCCTCTCTGGGCTCTGCCAGCCAAGTCCTCCTGGCAACCATGGGATGGAGAGGGATAAACCCAGCCAGCCATGGGCTCATGGCTCTGGCACCCCAATTAATCCTCCTTGATGCCTGGTACTTGCCAATCTGCCATGTCCCAGCTTGCTGGGCTCCTCTGCACTGCAGGAGGGCTCCATGATCCTGGCTGGAGCAGTGGGCACCAGCCTTCTCCAGGGCTGACAGCCCCAGGATGGCTGAACACACCAGGGAAACCTCCTGGTGCTGCCAGGAGAGGGAAGGAGAGGGACAGGGAGCTGGGATGGATCCTCAGCAAAACAAAGGGGAGTATGAGGCAGAAGTTCATGTCAAACAGGAGCTCAGAGCATCAGGCAAGGTGGTGGCAGGTCCCAAGCAAGGGGGGAAGGAGGTTGTGGGTGATGGGCAGAGCTGGAGAGCAGCATCCCTGGCCCAACTGGGGACCAGCAACCCCAGGTTGAGCTTAACTGGGCTCCTGGGGCCATGGGCAGGGTGGGGACTTCAGGTGGACCATTTCATGTCCCCAAGGCCCCAGGAAGCCAGACTCAGGTGAAGAGTCTTCACTTGACACTAGAGCTGAGCTGGCAGCTCCACCAGCACCTCCAGCCCAGCAACCAAG